GCACCTACACTCCAATCTCTAGTAAAGGTAAATATAGATCCAATAACATGGTCAGACCATGGCCCAGTATGTTCCATATTTGAAACTTCATATCAAGCAAGAGGCAAGGGTTCATGGCGTTTGAACAAAGCATTATTAGATAATAAAACGGGAGAAATAGAGATTAGGAATACAATTAATCAGTTTTTCCAAGAAAACACTAATCAGGATACATCTATAGCAGTTACATGGTTAGCTCACAAGGCCACAGTGAGGGGAATACTTAAAAAAAAAAAAGGCACAAGGGCAAAACGAAAATTAGGAGAGGAAAAGAAAAAACTCCTCAAATCTATAGGAGAAATAGAGAAACAATATAAACAAACTCTAAATAATTGTCTACGAAATAAACTTTTTAAACTTAAAAAACAACTAGAAAATTTAGAGTTGAAGGTAACGGAACGTAATTTGAGAAAATTAAAATTTAAATATTATACACAAGGTAATAAAGCGGGCAAATTATTGGCGTCTCAAATTAAACAGAAGTCAACACAATCAAAAATTCCATACTTGGTAAACTCAAAAGGTGCAAAATTGATAGATCCAAATCAAATTATTAATGAGTTAGCATTATATTATGAATATTTATATAATTTAAGGGAGGATTCAAATACAACCCAACCCACATTAAATATGATTTCCACTTTCCTAAGAGATGTTGAACTACCCTGCGTGACTTGGGAAGAGGCGGAGATCTAGAACAAACCTTTTACAGAGGAGGTGGTCTGGGAAGCTATAAAAACAACTTCAAAACATAAAGCATCAGGCCCAGATGGGTTTTCTAATTATTATTATTTTAAATTTGCAAAGGAATTCATCCCAAATCTAACAATATTTTTTAACAGCATTTTAGATTCAGGTGAGGTACACCCGGAAATGCAGGAAGCTATTATATTAACACTACCAAAACCAGGTAAGCCACAGACTAGCTGCGTCAATCTAAGACCTATATCTCTGCTTAATGCAGAGATAAAATTGTTTGCAAAAGTAATGGCACTAAGACTGAAACCACTACTGCCCAAATTGATATGAGCAGAACAAGCAGACTTTGTGCCAGGTAGACAGGTGGGGGATAATACCCGTAGATTTATAGATATACTGGAAATAATGAAAAGACATAAAAAAGGAGGGATTATTGTTGGTACTTGATGCGGAAAAGGTGTTTGACCGCCTACGTTGGCAATACATGGAGAAGGTGCTAGATAAATTTCAACTCCCGAACAAATTTAAACAAGGTATGCTCTCATTATATACAAACCCAATGGCTAGAGTTATCAGTTCAGGTTTTGTGTCTCGTAAACTGCGCCTCTCTAACAAGACAGGGTTGTCTCCTCTCTCCATTAATTTTTATTATGACCCTTGAACCCCTAGTATATAAGATAAATAAACAAGTTCAAATAACGGGGCTAAATACTCACATGGGACCTCAAAAAGTGGCCTTATTTGCGGACGATGTCCTGATAATACTAACAAATCCAGACAAAACAATAATGCAGCTGATGGATTTATTGAAGGAATATATCAAAGTGTCGTATTATAAAGATAATATTATTAAAATCCAAGCCTTACCTATTAATATGCAAGAGCCAACTATTCGAAAGTTGAAAGATGAATACCCATTCGAATGGAGAAATAAATCTATAAAATATCTTGGTATTCATCTTTCAGTTTCGAAACAGGAAATGATAAAAAAATAACCATAGCAAATTACTAAGAGAAGTACAAGATACACTAAAACACTGGGATAAGAGCACCACATCATGGCGGGACGGATCAATTCTGTTAAAATGTGCATAGTACCACAGATTTCTTTTTAGATCCATACCAATAATGATCCCTAAATCAATTATAACAAATTTTCAGACAACAATAAATGCTCATAGTTGGAAATGCAAACCCCCAAGAATATCACTGAATACAATGAGCTGCAAAATGACAGAGGGTGGAATGGGAGTACCGCAAAATATTATATAGCTTCCATACTGGCACAAACAGCAGCACTAATATATACATCTAGTATATCCCTATGGCATATATTAGAACAATCCATTGTCTAACAATATGAGATATTGGATCTCATTTGGACAACACATCGCGCTCATCTTAGAAACTATCATTTCCTATCCACAACACAAATATCTCTGAGGTTGTGGAGTTGCTGGGCCCCTAAACTTCTGGGAAAATGCAATTATTTTTATTATGGAACTCTGCAAAGTTTAACTTACTATACAAAAGATTTAAACATAATAACATGGAGAAAGAAAGGATTATCAAAAACCTGACATCTAATAGCAGGCTCAGCTATATATCAATTCACAGATATACAAATTAAATACAATCTTCATAACAGGAAACTCTATACATATCTCAAAGTGAAACATATTTTAATGAAACTTCAAGTGAAGGAGGTGGAACATTCTAGGGTGAATGATTTTGGGAGGCTATGTTTGGGGAGACGACCCCAAGATAAGCCTCTATCAATAAGTTACAGAGGAATATTAAATCTAGCAAAACCAGAGAAACTGCCTTTTATGTTAAATTGGGAGAAGGAGCTAAACAACGAGTGGGAGCCCTTTCAATAGTATAGGGCTATGAGATCAACTAAGGCTGCCACACATAATAAATAACACATAGAAGCAACATATAAAATGTGGCTATGGTGGTACATGACACCACAAAAATTGGCTCAAATATATCCAGAGAACGTGGGGACATGCTGGAGATGTGGGGAAATAGAAGGATCTATGACTCATATTTTGGCAGTGTAAAAAAAATATTGATGAATGGAAACACATTCAACAATTAATTTTTAAAGTTACAAACACATTGATGCCCCTGCAACCAGAAATATTCCTGCTACACATTATGCCAGAGAGAATATTGCTACAAGAAAAATTGCTAATTATACATATTTTGATGGCTACAAAAAATGCTATAGCCAATTTATGGAAAACAAAACAGGTGCCATCATTAAGTATAATAAGGGAAAAGAGCTCTACTACCAAAATCTACTAGGAGATGGCATATAGGCTAAAAGGCAAACAAGATATTTATGATAAAATTTGGGCAAGGTGGAAATGAAATGAGAGGAAATTAAGAGAAAATAAGGGGAAAGAAATAAGCAAAATAGCTTCATTAATACAGATGGCTAATAAAATTTAGGTGATACAAAACAAACGAAGGAAGAGGGAAGGGAAGGGAGACGAGGGAAAGAGAACAAGTACAACAACAAAAAAGTGTGAGATTCAAGCTGCAGGAACAGATTGATATAGACGTTTGATATGAAATTTTATAAATTAAATAAAATTGGAAATGCAGATTCATAAAAGAAAGAATTACTATAATTAAATATACATTTTATTTTCTCTATTTTCTCTATTTATTTTTAATTTTTCTTCTTTATAGAGAAGGAGGGATAAAAACCTAATTTAATACAAGAATCAGGATATGTATAAAGTATATCAGAAGGGATAAAAAAAAAAAGAAATGCCTAATGTAAATAAGAATTCAGTGATGTAAAGATATAAAAGAAAAGTGTTACTGAAGCCGAAAATAAGTCAGAGGAGATTGTAAGATGTATAAAAGTAAAAGATAGTAATAGAATATCTTGCATTGTGAATGGTATTTTTCTCTTTCCATATATTATTTATTTTATTTATTTATTTTGTTATGTTTTTTTTCTGTAATTTGAAAAAGTGAAATAAAGATTTAAACATGAAAAAATAAAATAAAAATTGTCCAGCGGTGTTTGTCAGTGAGCTTGTCTGTTGTGAGTTTGAGTGTATGTCAGTGAACTTGTCTGTAGTGAGCATGTGCATGTGTGTCAATTAGCATGTGTGTGTCAGTGAGCTTTTCTGTAGTGAGTGTGTGTGTCAGCGAGTTCGTCTGTAGTAAGCATGTGTAGGTGTCAGTGAGTTTGTAGAGACCATGTGTGTATCAGTGAGCTTTTGTGTAGTGAGCATGTGTGTGTGTCAGTGAGCTTGTCTGTAGGGAGCATGTGTGTGACAGTAAACTTGTCTGTAGTGAGCAAGTGTGTGTCAGGGAGCGTGTCTGTAGTGAGTGTGTGTGTGTGATAGTAAACTTGTCCGTAGTAAGTTTGTGTTTGTAAACCAATGAGTTTGTCTGTAGTAACCTTGTGTGAGTGTCGAGTTTGTACTGTTTGTGTATGTGTCTGCATGTGAGTATGCTACTGAATATTTATTTTTTTTTTATACACTGACAGAACCAATATTTTGAATTAGAAAAATAAACATACCAATAATATATATCTCCTTAAGAATCGTGGAAGTACTAGGTACGTCCGACAAAAAAAAACGGACGTCCTTATTTGTGTTGCTCCTGGTCTGGGGGGACTGCCTGACAGCCCCTCCTCAGCAATTTAGGCCTCCACAGGTCATGTGATTGCTCTGAACGACTGACAGGCAGTCTCCCTGCTGCTGTAAAAATGTTTTTAATACATTTTAAATGAATAAATTTTATATATATATATATATATATATATATATATACACACACACACACATACTAAGTGATTTTTTTTTAATTCTTTTATTTTTTTGATGTGCAGGGAAATACAAAAAGGCTTAAAGTGCCACACCAGCAAAAGTAGGCATTCAAAGTAACATACAAGATATAACATGGGCATGACATTTGCTGAATCTGCACAATTTTTTAAATAATAATAATGAACATAAAGATAAGGAACAAGAGTATTAGAAATTTCAGGCACGTCTAGCAATAAAGGGTAGGCTGGACGCAAACAAGCTAGGCCATAATCTATAGAAGCTATAATGTGTACAGACAGGCATGGTTAGCTAGACTTATTGGCAGTGGGTAAATATGAAGAAAATTAACTGTGCTAGACAATGCATGATGAGGTGCCACTGAGTAGTCAACATAATATAAAATGACTAAAGGAAGACATAAAATTCTGAAGTATTGCAGTTGAACAGATTCTCCACTCTTCAGGTTGATCCCTCTCCACAGGTATGCCGCAAAGTCTCCACATTCGTGGTCACTTTGCTATCTTGTATGAGCAGCTTGGTTTCTTGCAGAGAGACTGCAGGCAGTTCGTTATGCCAGACCTCTTCACTCCCCTTGATCCAGATTTTTAGAGGAGCCTGTGTAGTGTATACAAGGACCCTACTTCTGTTTTCCGCTGAGTCTTGGGCCAGAAGGTGCTTGGAGGGTCGGGGAACCCATTGGGTAGGTGGGCAGCTGTCATGAGGTACCTCTGTGTAGGGTCGGTGGTCTGGCACTGCCGTGGAGGCTATGCACTCTGAAGGCGGGCAGCATTGGGGGTTTTGGTATAAACCCGCTCCCAAAACATCCGACAAATCTCATCAAAATGAGCTTCGAAGTGCTCCCGCCAGCTTTGAATCAGCTTGCTCTCCCAGAGATGTGGACATTGTGATGCGGTGGCTATTTTGGGCACCCCACACAGTTGCTGTAGTGGCTGGAGATTCCCCTTTAGTGTAGAGGTGAGTTTCCCCAGTGGGGACCTGGAAGTCCACCGCTGGTCCAGAGGGAGGAGTTGCTGGGTGGCAGGGGGAACTGCAGTTCTTGCGAGCCCCGTGTTGGGAAATCGGCCGTCTCTCCCTGGCAACAGGCTGCTCACAAGCTAGGCTATATGGTCAGATGGCTTTAGTTTTCGGCACAAATTAGGAGTCGTCTTGTTCCCCTTCGGTGCCTGTCAGTTCCCAGTTCTCAGGAAGTTGCTACCAATGCTTTTTGGGGCACTATTAGCTGTTTTTTGCTTGCTCATGTCAGAACTATGAGGGAACAATCTTGGCTGCCAGGCCCTGCCCCAATAAGTGTATTTTATATTAATATATACAGATATTAATTTAAAAATACACTTATAATTAAATTACACACATAAAATATAAATAATAAGTACCGTATATACTCGAGTATAAGTCGACCCGAATATAAGCCGAGGCCCCTAATTTTACCACAAAAAAATGGGAAATATTGACTCGAGTATAAGCCTAGGGTGGGAAATGCAGCAGCTACTGGTAAATTTCTAAATAAAATTAGATCCCAATAAAATTACATTAATTGAATATTTATTTACAGTGTATGTATATAATGAATGCAGTGTGTGTGTGTTTGTGTAGTGTGTATATAATGAATGCAGAGAGTGTGTTTGTGTGTAGTGTGTGTATATAATGAATGCAGTGTGTGTTTGTGTGTAGTGTGTGTATATAATGAATGCAGAATTTGTGTGTTTGTGTGAATACAGTGTGTGTTTGTATGAATGCAGTGTATGTGTATATAATGCAGAGTATGTGTTTATATGAGTGTGTGTGTATATAATGCAGAGTGTGTGTATATAATGCAGAGTGTGTGTGTAAATAATGCAGAGTGTGTGCATTATATACACACACAATCTGCATTATATACACACACACACTCTGTGTGTATATAATGCAGAGTGTGTGTTTGTGTGAATGCAGATTGTGTGTGTTTGTGTAGTGTGTATAAACTGGATAGGGGGAGGGCATTTTTATTATGTTTAATGTTTTTTTATTTTAACATTATTTTATTTTTTATATTTTAATATTATTTTATTTTTATTTAACCCCTTAAGGACTGAGCCAAATGTACACGTTGTGAACGAAACAAAATGTAAACAAAACCTGGCATTTGCGCTACATGTCTGTCCAACCGTAATTCACCTCTTTCATATTAAATGCACCCACCCTTATTATATATCATTTTATTCAGGGGAAACAGGGCTTTCATTTAATAGCAAATATTTAGCTATGAAACATTATTTCAAACGTTTGTGTGAAAAATGCAAAAAACGCCAATTTTGGCCAGTGTTTGTGACTAAGTGGCTACTAAAAAAGACTGGACATACCCCGTTTGCAATACCTTGGGTTGTCTACTATTGCAACTGGTATGCCATCATAGGGGTAATTTTCATTCTTGGTCTACCATAGGGTCTCAAAGGCACCGTAACCAATCTGACGAATTTTAATGTGAAAAAAATGAAACGCAAGCCTTATATTTGACGCTGTAACTTTTGAAAACACCATAAAAACTGTACTACTTGGGAGACTTCATTGAACACAAATATTTGTGTTTCAAAACAGCAAAAAGTATCACCGCAATAATATCGTCCGTGTAAGTGCTGTTTGTGCATGAAAAATGCAAAAAACGTCACTTTTACTGGCGATATCATCGTTGTAATACATTTTACTGTTTTGAAACATTTGTGTTCAGTGAAGTCTCCTGAGTAGAACAGTACCCCCCACGTACAGGTTTTATGGTGTCTTGGAAAGTTATAGGGTTAAATATAGTGCTAGCAAATTAAATTCCCTTTACTTTCGGCATGGGTTGTCAGGCAGGTCCCGCTAATTGTAATTAATTAAGATACCTAATTATGTAAAAATATTACATAAATATATATGTAGAATTAATATATGTATATATATACGTATGTGAATCTATATGTGTATATATATATATATATAATTTTTTTTAAATATTTTAAAAAAATATTTTTATTTATATATAGGTATATATATAGTGATATATACGTATATATTTATGTATGTAGATATATATATTATTTCGTTCTACGTGTATTTTGATATAAATATATATATATTAATATCACAATACAGTTAGAACGAAATAACACACATCTATATATTTAATTATTTTTTTAATTTAATTTTTTAACGTATTTACATATTTCATTTTTTTATATTATATATAAATATATATAACAATAATTCTATATATAATCAGTATCAGTCTACGTGTAATTTGATAATTATATATATTAATAGTAAAATACACCTAGACAGTGTGTGTGTGTGTGTGTGTGTATGTATATGTGTATATATATATACTTAGATCACATATATAAATAATATATATATATGATCTAAGTATATATATATATTTTTTTTTACACGTATTAATTTTATTTAAATTTTATTTCTAGCCAGCAGGGGGACCACCTGTAATTACAGGCAGCCCCCCTGCAGGCAATACAGAAAGCCAGCTATCTCGGCCATGTTATTGTGAGGTCCTCGCAAGGACCTCACTCTCACATGGCCGGGGGGCACTGGAGGAGGAGGATCTGCTGCAGGAGGGCTCCCTGGTAAGTAAAAAAAAACGGAGGGCGTACAATTACGCCCGGCGGTGTTTAGAGCCGCCTAAAATAGGGCGTAATTGTACGCCCTCCCGTCTTAAGGGGTTAAATATTATAAAATGAAATTGTTTATTTTTTTTGTCCCCCCTATGGCAAATCGATGGTGGTCCAGTGAATGGGCTGTGCAGTAGGGGGTGGGGGGGGGCGGCAGGAAGCGTTTACTTACCTCCCAGCAGCTCCTTTCAGCTCCGTGCAGCTCCCCCGTTCAGCTCACAGTATAAGTCTCACGGTCTGTGTGCCACGGTAATCCGTGGCAACGCTCTGACAGCCGCAGGTCTCGCAAGACTTACACTGTGAGCTGAACGGGGGAGCTGCAAGGAGCTGACAGGAGCTGCCGGCCACCAACAGGACCACCGGGCTTGTAATGAGCCCGGCAGTCCTGGTCTGTATAATGGCAATGTAAGTTGCCATAATACAGACACTGACTCGAGTATAAGCCGAGTGGGGCTTTTTCAGCTCAAAACATGTGCCAACCTTGAGTATATACGGTAACTAAAAACCATTTTAAAATAATTTTAAAAAATACAATGATATATATATGTAAGTTTATTCTATCTGTATTTTGATATTTATATATATATATATAAATATATATATATATATCACAGTGATTATATTGTCAGTGAAAGTGAAGTTTTTTTGTATCTTTCACACACAAATGGCACTTTCACTGATATCATTGTTGTGATACGTTTTACTGTTTTGAAACACTAATATTTGTGTTCAGCAAAGTCTCCTGAGTAAAACAGTACCCCCCCCTCCCACATGTACAGGTTTTATAGTGTTTTTGAAAGTTACAGGGTCAAATATAAGATTTGATTTTCTGTTTTTTCACATTGAAATTTGCCAGATTGGCTATGTTGACTTTGAGAGCGTATGGTAGCCCAGGAATGAGAATTCCCCCCATGATGGAATACCATTTGTAAAAGAAGATTACCCAAAGTATTGCAAATAGGGTATGCTCAGTCTTATTTAGCAGCCACTTAGTCACAAACACTGGCCAAAGTTAGCATTCATAATTGTTTTTTGCATTTTTAACACACAAACAAATACAAATGCTAACTTTGGCCAGTGATTGTGACTAAGTGGTTACTAAAAATGACTGGACATACCCCATATTGAATACCCTGGGTTGTCTAATTTAAAAAAACATATATACATGTAAGGTGTGATTTAGAGATTTATGACAGATAATAGTGTTACAATGTCATTATTGATAAATTTTAAAAATATATATTTTGAAACAACAATATCCTACTTGTACTTATAGCTGTATAACTTGCAAAAAATAGTTATGTTAACATTGGGTATTTCTAAACACAGGACAAAATTTAGAAAAGATTTAGCATGGGTGTTTTTGGTGGTTGTATATGCGTAACATATTTTGGGGGTCAAGGTTAGAAAAAGTGTGTTTTAAAAAAAATTTCATCAGATTTTATAATTTATTTAAGTAAATTATATGATATGATGAAAATAATGGTATCTTTAGAAAGACGATCCAATGGCAAGAAAAACTGTATATAATATGTATGGGTACAGTAAATGAGTAAGACAAAAATTACAGCTAAACAATTATGCCCTCCCGCCCAGAAAAATACCTGGTTGTTGGTGAACACATGAACTGACTTAACGGTAATCTCCTCAAAACATAATGTATAATACAACTCTTGATGTGTCACCACCCTCCCTTCCTGGGGAAGCGGGAGGAAGACAGTTCCATGATAAAACATGATAAAACTATAATACATTTTTAATTAAGGGTATGAAATTATGAAGTAGCACAATACTAACTCCCCATTTCACTTCTGGTGACAATGTGTATCAAATGCCATATATTTTAGTAGAAGATATGTTGGTCCTTAAGTCCCCCAAATTCTCAGTAGTTTCATCTTTAAGGAAATACACCCTCTTGGGTTTAAAAACATCTTACCACTAATATGTCTCTGATTAAATGTGATCTTTTAAATTGTGGGGGTGTTGAGATTTTTATTCTTTGTGACCACAACTGTGTGTGTTGGGTTTGAAGTTTTGGTCAGGCTTGTATTCTGGATCAGAAAATCATGGACAATGGTAGAATCTGAATTTGTACGGCCCTTGGATACTCAACT